ATAATTTTATTATAAATTTTTATAATAATTTTATTATATTTCTAGTAGATAGATTTTTAACAATTATAAATAATTAATATGTATTATATATATTTTAATTTTTGGCGCGATTTTAAGTAAATAAATAAACACCATGCGCCAGCCAATCAGAAAGTTATTAAGTTTTAGTCGCAAAATGAATTAGTGCGCATTACAATGCGCATAGTGTTAGTCTTCAGTTGAAAATCGTGGCAAGAAGACATATCATCGTGTGTTATACGACGCAGTAAGTTATTTTACTTTTATTATTACCAAATTTATCAATTATTGTTAATTTAGTTTTTTAAATAATCCATTTAGTATAGTGAAAACGAAATTAATTAGTCTTTTGTGTTTCTTTGTGTCTTTTCTTTGTTCATTTCTATTGCGTCATTAGTAGCATCACGTATCGAAATATTTCGAGACAGAATTTGAAATCGGATATTGTTTTCTCTTAATATAATTTTAATTTTATACGTTTATTTTATGCTCTTGATCTTTATTTTTATCATATTATATTAAAGTAAAATAAATTTTTTACGATTTGATACGAATTCATTTCGTGAAATCGAATTATTGAAATGACGCATATTATTTTAAATATATATATCTATATGTAAAGTCTTGTGTATTTATTTTATTTTGTTTCTTTTTGGTTTATTATTTATATTTTGCACGAGGTTAAAAACATTCCTTATGATATCACATTTCCAAGAACTTAGATTTGTGTTTAAACATATTGTGTCGAATTGTTGAACGTACCCCCTCCATTTTGTTATTTGATGGACGAAATCGAATTGCGCAGTGACAATTGTTCGTTGATTCGTGTAGCAATTCGATGCTTGAAATTTTTTCATTACGTGTGTTCTATTCAGTGCGTGATATTTTAATATTTTTTTTTATAGTTACTTTTTTATTCATTTGTTCATTTTTAATATATCTTTATTCAATATTTCATTCATAATTAATTAATTAATTATAAAACATTATTGGATTGATAATTCTTTGATAATTGATTTTGAATTCTTCATTCATCATATAATTTGAGTGTCGAATTATAAATATCTAATATTGTAAGTTTTTATTTGTTTAATTATTGCAATATTTTAACGTAATCTATTTATTTACTTATTTAGAAGTTTCGATTTTTTTTTGCAGGTTTAATTGTCAGTGATAACTCTTGAAGACGAGAAAAATTCCAACATGGACACCATGTCTTTTTTAGTAACTTTCTTTCGTGGTAAAATTTTACATTTCGTATGTATAAATTTTTATTTTGTTTTATTGAATTATTAGTGATTGTTAAGCAATTCATAAAATTAATTTTAGTTAAAAGAAAGTGAAAAAATTAAAAATTTATGAGAAACTTTCATTATTTATCATTAGAAATTAAATTTTAAAATAATAACGAACATTTATTAAATTATAGATAACGAATATTTATTAAATTTCAGATAATTATAAATAATTGATAATATTTTTATATATAATTTATAACCAATTAACATAAAAAGTATTTTCAAAACAAATGTTCAATACGAAAAAGAAAAATATCAAAAAAATATTCTTCTTCTATCATTCTTCACCCCTTTACTAATGTAATGTTAATTTCAGAAAATATTTGTGACCGCGTGCAATGCGGTTAATAGAATCAGTGTTTGCTTCGCCATAATATTTTGAATATTTTTTAGAGCACAGCAGCTCTGATTAAATGTAATTAAAATAATCAAACGCGAAAGTAGAATCAGTGTTTGTTCGTCAATTATAATTTATACGGACGCGTTATTAATTTTTTATTTTTTATTTTTTTTTTTATTTTAAATATTCGTTTTCGGTACAGGATAGAGTCAGTGCTTCTCTCAAGAGAATAAGGCGATCATCCCTCACGCGAAGAGGTAATTATGCTTTTATATATCTAAATTTTTATTCTTCTAAATGGAAATTAACTGGAATTTCAATATCATTATTATATATTGCATATTTAATAGTTTCGTATTTCAATTTTTTCAAATAATCAGAACCGTGTTTTTAATTATGATGTTTTGTCACAGATTTCTTCTATTCTTCTACCTGATGACAACCTTCTTCTCGATGATTTCTGGGCTACAGTAACAGTGAAGGCGTTCGTCGCATCATATGGTGAGTCGCTTTTTGATTCCTCCGGTCACTCAATCATGTCGTAGGATGAAAGATCCGAATCGACACGAATGACTGGTTGTATACGTAGAATTTTGCACGAGCACAATGACCGCGGGTATTTATTTATAATAATTACCCGCGAGTAGTAACAATTATTTCTTTTATGTTTTATTTATTAGTTCAGGCTAGAGTCTTCTTACGCTTCGCGTTTTTGATTAATATGAAATGTTTAGTAATTTTAATAATGCCAAAACATATAATTATCAGTATAATACAATAATTAGTTTGAATTTTTATAATTAAAAATTCTTCAGAGTAACATTTTAAGTTATTTGATCAATTTGATTATTGTGATTATCATATAATAATTTCATATAACTTCAATATGATTTACAACAGTGGTAGATAGTAAAGTTTAATTTTTATTCGTACAAATATGAATTAATTTTTGTGCAAGAAGACATTTCGCGACAGGCAGATTTTAGAATCAGAGCAATAAGTTTTGAATATTATTCTT